CATATACAAACACATAAACTCATAAACTTTCTATATATCAGTATGCACCTGAATCCTTAAACAGTCACACCCTCAAGACACACATACATAAATATTAGAATCTTTAGCACGATGAGTGATTCATAAGAAAACATTGTAGTGTAGAAAGGATTAAAAGAGAACTCTGAATGTTAGAAAAGCTTAATGTAAAATAAGGACATTACAAAAACATGAGTGAAGGTAATAAGTTGAGATAATGGCTTGAGCATGCAGATGGATGTTCAGGAGAATACGAGGGCAATATAAAATTAGTTTTAATTAATTGAAAAATTGTTAAGAAAATACAGCATTTATATAAAAAAAATATATTAGATACTACATTACAAATGACAAAAAAATTGATTATGACTGACTATGACTAGACTATGACTAGACTATGACTAGACTATACTACTAGACTAGACTATGACTAGACTATGACTAGACTATGACTAGACTAGACTAGACTATGACTAGACTATGACTAGACTATGACTAGACTATGACTAGACTATGACTAGACTATGACTAGACTATGACTAGACTATACTAGACTAGACTATGACTAGACTATGACTAGACTATGACTAGACTATGACTAGACTATGACTAGACTATGACTAGACTATGACTAGACTATGACTAGACTATGACTAGACTATGACTAGACTATGACTAGACTATGACTAGACTATGACTAGACTATGACTAGACTAGACTAGACTATGACTAGACTATATGACTAGACTATGACTAGACTATGACTAGACTATGACTAGACTATGACTAGACTATGACTAGACTATGACTAGACTATGACTAGACTATGACTAGACTATGACTAGACTATGCTAGACTATGACTAGACTATGACTAGACTATGACTAGACTATGACTAGACTATGACTAGACTATGACTAGACTATGACTAGACTATGACTAGACTATGACTAGACTATGACTAGACTATGACTAGACTATGACTAGACTATGACTAGACTATGACTAGACTATGACTAGACTATGACTAGACTATGACTAGACTATGACTAGACTATGACTAACTATGACTAGACTATGACTAGACTATGACTAGACTATGACTAGACTATGACTAGACTATGACTAGACTAGACTAGACATGACTAGACTATGACTAGACTATGACTAGACTATGACTAGACTATGACTAGACTATGACTAGACTATGACTAGACTATGACTAGACTATGACTAGACTATGACTAGACTATGACTAGACTATGACTAGACTGACTAGACTATGACTAGACTATGACTAGACTATGACTAGACTATGACTAGACTATGACTAGACTATGACTAGACTATGACTAGACTATGACTAGACTATGACTAGACTATGACTAGACTATGACTAGACTATGACTAGACTATGACTAGACTATGACTAGACTATGACTAGACTATGACTAGACTATGACTAGACTATGACTAGACTATGACTAGACTATGACTAGACTATGACTAGACTATGACTAGACTATGACTCTACTATGACTAGACTATGTCTAGACTATGACTAGATTATGACTAGACTATGACTAGACTTTGACTAGACTTTGACTAGACTATGAGTACACTATACCTAGACTATGACCATACTATTTTCACAATATGCAAATCAATATCTTAAACAGACTAATGACCATCACAACACACCTTTACAAATCATTAACAAATCAAGTAGTGGTAATCATTTTATCAGTTTTTTAGATGTAAAACAAAACATTCAAGGACTGCATACTTACAATAGTAAATCAAATATTTAAAGAAAACATTTTAAATTTTCTATATTTTAAAGTCTTTAGAAATGTTTCTTTATAATAAACAAATATACCTCTTTTAATGCACTTAAGTACAAATAAAACTTCGCGTTGACATTAATAAAATAGTTTTTGTTAAACATTTTTTAACTAAATATTTTTCTTGTCCTAAAAAGCCACTTTAGCCAATAAAGTTTTAACGTATAAAAACAAAATAGTGAAAAGTAAGAAAAAGATTAAAACATAAATACTAGTTGGCAACAAAAACTTAGTGTTAACACTGCTAAATCGCCACAAAGGGTCCTCTCCGATGGCCAGTAAATGGTAGAGGTTTGTGTATTTAAATTTTAAACAAAAAATCACAACAAAAAATATATTTAAAGGAATGACAACATGAAAAAACTAAGCCTCGAGAAATATTCTAAATAAATGTAAAAGTTTCTAATTGATTTATATCCTTTAAGTTTCTTACATTCGCACAAAACACACATGTTGTCTGTTTTTTACTTATACGTTCAAATTGGTTTAAAATTATCAGTTGCCGTAGGGAATTGTAACAAACGCTTGAACACACCATCCGTCCATCCAGTCATTCATTCATTCTATCGTACGTTCATTCGCCTATTCACTCATTGACTCAATGTGTTTTTTACTGAATTTCCACATTTTGTTTTTGTAAAAATTCTTAGTGTTTGCAATCGATTTCGAGGTCATTTTAAAAATACATACAACCAATGGTCGGTAGTTACAGTTGTTATGTGCATATTTTACACACTCTATATCTATCTATATCTACAAAACCTTCCCATACACATATACAAAGGTAGTTAACTGCTTGACCTGCCACCAAATTCTCCTTCTGCCACCTTTATTATTAACTACTTTAATGTGTGCTAGCAAAACAAGCTAACGAACCCAACACCCAGCTCCAACCCATATATAACGATGATTGTATCCTTCTATATCTCTATCGCTTCTATTTTTTCATTCATTTTGCTACGATTTTAAAAAATACTGACAATGAATTGTACCTTGAACACTCCTATAAACTTTTTACACGAAATCCAATATTAACGTCATCAATGATTTAACCATAGAACGGCGAAGCACATCAATAAATAGAGAAATAATATGTATTTGAGAAAATGAAAAAAAAGAACAGTAATCACATATAGCAACATTCGCGCAGCACTGATGAAGGTGTTTTAGATTAGACAATTTTGGTTTTTTATTGCTTAAGGAAATTAACATTGAAGGTTTTCATTTGATAAGCGAAACATGTAAGAAAAATAGGTTTTAATAGTAAATATTTTAAAAAAAATTTCGTATCTCGAAAATCATGCGACAGAGCAGGAATAGAAAATATTAATTTTGAAATAGTTATAACTTTTAAACAAAAAAAGTACTTTTTAATATTTTAAAGTACTAAACTAATTTTCCGCTAGACTAGAATCTAGACTATAGACTAGACTAGAACTAGACTAGACTAGACTAGACTAGAACTAGACTAGACTAGACTAGACTAGACTAGACTAAACTAGACTAAGCTAGACTAGACTAGACTATAGACTAGACTATAGACTAGACTATAGACTAGACTATAGACTAGACTAGACTAGACTATGACTAGATATAGACTAGATTATAGACTAGATTATAGACTAGACTTGACTAATAGACTAGACTATAGACTATAGACTATAGACTAGACTATAGACTAGACTAGAGACTAGCCTATAGACTAGACTAGACTATAGACTAGACTATAGACTAGACTATAGACTAGACTATCGGACTAGACTATAGACTAGACTATAGACTAGACTATAGACTAGACTATAGACTAGACTATAGACTAGACTATAGACTAGACTATAGACTAGACTATAGGACTAGACTCTAGACTAGACTATAGACTAGGACTATAGACTAGACTATAGACTAGACTATAGACTAGACTATAGACTAGGACTATAGGACTAGACTATAGACTAGACTATAGACTAGACTATAGACTAGGACTATAGACTAGACTATAGACTAGACTATAGACTAGACTATAGACTAGACTATAGACTAGACTATAGACTAGACTATAGACTAGACTATAGACTAGACTATGACTAGACTATAGACTAGACTATAGACTAGACTATAGACTAGACTATAGACTAGACTATAGACTAGACTATAGACTAGACTATAGACTAGACTATAGACTAGACTATAGACTAGACTATAGACTAGACTATAGACTAGACTATAGACTAGACTATAGACTAGACTATAGACTAGACTATAGACTAGACTATAGACTAGAGACTAGACTAGACTAGACTATAGACTAGACTATAGACTAGACTATAGACTAGACTATAGACTAGACTACTAGACTAGACTATAGACTAGACTATAGACTAGACTATAGACTAGACTATAGACTAGACTATAGACTAGACTATAGACTAGACTATAGACTAGACTATAGACTAGACTATAGACTAGACTATAGACTAGACTATAGACTAGACTATAGACTAGACTATAGACTAGACTATAGACTAGACTATAGACTAGACTATAGACTAGACTATAGACTAGACTATAGACTAGACTATACTAGACTATAGACTAGACTATAGACTAGACTATAGACTAGACTATAGACTAGACTATAGACTAGACTATAGACTAGACTATAGACTAGACTATAGACTAGACTATAGACTAGACTATAGACTAGACTATAGACTAGACTATAGACTAGACTATAGACTAGACTATAGACTAGACTATAGACTAGACTATAGACTAGACTATAGACTGACTATGACTTGACTATGACTTGACTATGACTTGACTATGACTTGACTATGACTTGACTATGACTATGACTTGACTATGACTTGACTATGACTTGACTATGACTTGACTATGACTTGACTATGACTTGACTATGACTTGACTATGACTTGACTATGACTTGACTATGACTTGACTATGACTTGACTATGACTTGACTATGACTTGACTATGACTTGACTATGAATTGACTATGACTTGACTATGACTTGACTATGACTTGACTATGACTTGACTATGACTTGACTATGACTTGATAACTAAAATTTTTTTAAATAACGTATTGAAAATCTTCTACAATTCTTGTAATTTCAGACATCCCAAATAACACAATGGAATGATGAATAAATGGCATGTGTTTATCCCGCACTTCGGTAAGAAAATTTCTATTTTTATGCTTAAATATTTACTTTTTTTTATTCTAACATTTTGAACTTGAACTAATTTTAATATTAATCCTGCATAAATTTCGTTCCTTTTAATAAACATTATTAAATAATTGTCCTAACTGAAATCTCTGCAAAAAAATAACATAACAATCTTTATGGCTCCCACACCAGAATACCCCTAATAAGTATTAGCGTTAGTTTCTGCAATAATCCATTTACCTCAATAAAAATGAAAAATATAGAGCATTTGGTTATTAAAAATTTTTATGAAAATTCGTTTTTTTCACATATACGAAAAATTGACTTACTAACACACACACACGCGAACACAAGGATAAAAGCTATTAAGCTGAAGAATTTATTTGTATATTGGCTGTCATAGAAACTCTCCCAAAAATTTACAAAAAGAAAAAAACGTAAATATTGCAACAATCTGCAGGACATTATTAATATAATAACATTTTAGTGGCGGTGATGACTAAAGTTGAATTTTAATTAAAAAAATTAAATCCCCAACAACAAATAAAAAGAACTAAGAAATAATATAAAAATCACTACAATCCCTCCACACAATCTCTGCATTCTTTGACTTGTTAACTTTAATAATTTTCAAGATTATTTCAGTTTTTATTGGATTTTTATTTTGTGTGTTTTATTCATACAAAATAGTCGTTTCGTTGGTTGTTTCATAATTTTCACTAAAATCATAAAGCGCGTTAGAGTTGTGTATTTGTTTTTTTTTTTTCTTTTGCGTTGTTTGTCATTGAATCAAGGATGTTTGGAAGACTGTTTGTGCTGCTGTTAAAGTTTTGTTGTCAAAATACATACATCTACATACTATTTATGAAACTGACAGAAAAAATTTTGTCACTCATTCACACACAGCTCTACCTCATTTTGCTTTTATATAAGTTAGATACCGTTAGTTTAATATCAAGTTGAATGGGAGTGAGGAAACCCCAGGTTCATTGGCTCTACGGATAACTCTATGCAGCCTTCCTTAGTCTCACTTTTTCTATAGTTCCTTTTAATATTTTCTTTTTGTTTTTGTAACTGGTGTTATTGTTGTTCTTGTTGTATAACACTACCACATGCCTTACCATTAAAATAATTTTCATCCAGTTTTTACTGTTATCTCATTTATGTGCTTTTTTGCTTTTTCATCTTTATAACTTGGTTCATGTTGGTTTTTTTAATTTTATATTATTTTTTTGCTGTAGCCGTGTTGAACAATTCCACAAAATGTAAAAATACTGTATGAAGGGTGGAAAATATATCCATCTCCCTAAAAGCTAGGTTAGAGGCAGTTACCCAAATGCGTTGAATGATTTTATACTATGATTAGACTATGACTAGACTACTAGACTAGACTATGACTAGACTATGACTAGACTATGACTAGACTATGACTAGACTACTATTGACTAGACTATGACTAGACTATGACTAGACTATGACTAGACTATGACTAGACTATGACTAGACTATGACTAGACTATGAACTAGACTATGACTAGACTAGGACTAGACTATGACTAGACTATGACTAGACTATGACTAGACTATACTAGACTATGACTAGACTATGACTAGACTATGACTAGACTATGACTAGAACTATGACTAGACTATGACTAGACTATGACTAGACTATGACTAGACTATGACTAGACTATGACTAGACTATGACTAGACTATGACTAGACTATGACTAGACTATGACTAGACTATGACTAGACTATGACTAGACTATGACTAGACTATGACTAGACTATGACTAGACTATGACTAGACTATGACTAGACTATGACTAGACTATGACTAGACTATGACTAGACTATGACTAGACTATTACTTGACTAGACTATGACTAGACTATGACTAGACTATGACTAGGACTATGACTAGACTAGACTATGACTAGACTATGACTAGACTATGACTAGACTATGACTAGACTATGACTAGACTATGACTAGACTATGACTAGACTATGACTAGACTATGACTAGACTATGACTAGACTATGACTAGACTATGACTAGACTATGACTAGACTATGACTAGACTATGACTAGACAATGACAAAAACAATTCATACGATTTCATTCCTTCAAATATCTCTAACCAATTGCAAAAACATGCCGCGTTGTTGCCATAAAGAAGCTGTAATTTTATTTTTCTCTCATTCATTCTACTATTTTACATGTAACAAAAAAAAAACAACAAAAAATTATGATAAAGTTACTGTTGATAAAGTTTTTTTTATTTTTGTTTTTTTTTTTGCCGTGCCTTTTTCAAGCTCAACTGTTGTAATGAGATGCTGTTTTGTATGAAAATGTGTACGAGTAATTTTAATAATATTTATTTCTTCTTATAGCAATGCAAAATTATGATGTAGCAAAACAACAACAACAACACTAACGAAATTATAAATACTACTCTTCTGCAACCAATATTCCAAGAAAGAAAATTATAGGCTTCGACAAGGTACCCAAGAGCTCAACAGCAATAGTGTTTGAAGCATGAGAGTATGTAGTACGTTTATAATCCATGGATTATTTAATGATAAACATCGTTTATTAAGTTGTTGCGTTAGCTCCGGTTTACGTTGATTTCAGTGCGGCTGTTTGGTTGCAAGCGGCATATTTTCATTCTTTGTGCCATGTTCTGTTGCTGCTAAATAAAATAATTTGATCTAAAACTAAAATCAATACTAATTATTTTTGAAATTGGAATTGAAATTAATTTTGTCATTTTAACACAAGGATGATAAAATTTTCAAACTTAAAACAAAACACGTAGTAGAAGAAAGGAGGGGTTAGGGCAAAAAATAAAAGTTAATTTGAGGCAATTTAAAATGAGTGCATTGTTAGTTGTCTAAGCACAATGTTGGTGTAACTAGTTTAGGTGAATATTGGGAAAATATATTTGATATTTGAGAGCATATTATTTATATCGTTTATTTACTATAAGACTGACATAATCTAAAATTCAGGTTTTTTTGAACTCAGTAGTTTAAAACATGCGTCATAATGAATCTTAACGTATTTCAGATATGTATGTCTATTTTGTTAGTTAGTTAGTTAGTTAGTTAGTTAGTTAGGTAGTTAGTTAGTTAGTTAGTTAGTTAGTTAGTTAGTTAGGTTTCGTTAGTTCAGTTCGTTAGTTAGTTCGTTCGTTAGTTTCGTTCGTTCGTTAAGTTCGTTACGTTCGTTCGTTCTTCGTTCGTTAGTTCTTAGTTCGTTAGTTAGTTAGTTAGTTCCGTTCGTTCGTTCGTTCGTTCGTTCGTTCGTTAGTTCGTTCGTTCGTTCGTTCGTTGTTCGTTCGTTCGTTTCGTTCGTTTCGTTCGTTCGTTCGTTCGTTCGTTCGTTCGTTCGTTCGTTCGTTCGTTCGTTCGTTCGTTCGTTGTTCGTTCGTTCGTTAGTTTTCGTTCGTTCGTTCGTTCGTTAGTTCGTTTCGTTCGTTCGTTCGTTCGTTCGTTCGTTCGTTCGTTCGTTCGTTCGTTCGTTCGTTCGTTCGTTCGTTCGTTCTTCGTTCGTTCGTTCGTTCGTTCGTTCGTTCGTTCGTTCGTTCGTTCGTTCGTTCTTCGTTCGTTCGTTCGTTCGTTCGTTCGTTCGTTCGTTCGTTCGTTCGTTCGTTGTTCGTTCGTTCGTTCGTTCGTTTCGTTCGTTCGTTCGTTCGTTCGTTCTTCGTTTCGTTCGTTCGTTCGTTCGTTCGTTCGTTTCGTTCGTTCGTTCGTTTTTCGTTCGTTCGTTCGTTCGTTCGTTCGTTTCGTTCGTTCGTTCGTTGTTCGTTCGTTTCGTTCGTTTCGTTCGTTCGTTCGTTCGTTCGTTCGTTCGTTCGTTCGTTCGTTCGTTTCGTTAGTTCGTTCGTTCGTTCGTTCGTTCGTTCGTTTCGTTCGTTAGTTCGTTGTTTCGTTCGTTCGTTCTTCGTTCGTTCGTTCGTCGTTCGTTCGTTCGTTCGTTCGTTCGTTCGTTCGTTCGTTCGTTCGTTCGTTCGTTCGTTCGTTTAGCGTTCGTTTCGTTCGTTCGTTCGTTCGTTCGTTCGTTTCGTTCGTTCGTTCGTTCGTTCGTTCGTTCGTTCGTTCGTTCGTTCGTTCGTTCGTTGTTCGTTCGTTCGTTCGTATCGTTCTTCGGTTATCGTTTCGTTCGTTTCGTTCGTTCTTTCGTTCGTTCGTTCGTTCGTTCGTTCGTTCGTTCGTTCGTTCGTTCGTTCGTTCGTTCGGTCGTCGTTCGTTCGTTCGTTCGTTCGTTCGTTCGTTCGTTTCGTTCGTTCGTTCTTTCGTTCGTTCGTTCGTTCGTTCGTTCGTTCGTTCGTTCGTTCGTTCGTTCGTTTCGTTCGTTTTCGTTCGTTCGTTCGTTCGTTCGTTCGTTCGTTTCGTTCGTTCGTTCGTTCGTTCGTTCGTTCGTTCGTTCGTTCGTTCGTTCGTTCGTTCGTTCGTTCGTTCGTTCGTTTCGTTCGTTCGTTCGTTCGTTCGTTCGTTCGTTTCGTTCGTTCGTTCGTTCGTTCGTTCGTTCGTTCGTTCGTTCGTTCGTTTCGTTCGTTCGTTCGTTCGTTTCGTTCGTTCGTTCGTTCGTTCGTTCGTTCGTTCGTTCGTTCGTTCGTTCGTTCGTTTCGTTCGTTCGTTCGTTCGTTCGTTCGTTCGTTCGTTCGTTCGTTCGTTCGTTCGTTCGTTCGTTTCGTTCGTTCGTTCGTTCGTTCGTTGTTCGTTCGTTCGTTCGTTCGTTCGTTCGTTCGTTCGTTCGTTCGTTCGTTCGTTCGTTCGTTCGTTCGTTCGTTCGTTCGTTCGTTCGTTCGTTCGTTCGTTCGTCTTCGTTCGTTCGTTCGTTCGTTCGTTGTTCGTTCGTTCGTTCGTTCGTTCGTTCGTTCGTTCGTTCGTTCGTTTCGTTCGTTCGTTCGTTCGTTCGTTCGTTCGTTCGTTTTCGTTCGTTCGTTCGTTCGTTCGTTCGTTGTTCGTTTCGTTCGTTCGTTTTTCGTTCGTT